TCCTCCCCTGCCCCTGCTGCCTTCCTCCCCTGCCCCTGCTGCCTTCCCAGCCCTTATCCCGAGGGTTGGAAATCACAGCCCCGAGGGGAAGCAACACAAGCAGCAAATGCTGCCCATGAACCCTCCCATCACCCCCAGGGCTGTTGCCTTCAGGGGCTGTTTCATTCCTTGGCATCAGCTGGGGCACAGATGGCTGTGCAGTCACTCTGTGCTGCAGAACTAGGTCAGGGCAGCACAGATAGCAAGGAAAAATAAAAATCGTGGGGTTTAGCCGCCAAAACCATCCAAGTAACAGCAGCCTAGTGGACAAAACAATATCCCTGAGCCACCTCATCAACCCCAGACCCTGCAGGCACAGCTGCCCTACCCAGAGAGCACCCAGCCAGCAGGGCAGAGGCTGTGGCATTGCACACACACACTCATTATACTCATTATTGTTTTACTAGAATCCAAGAACTCCTACAGGAGTTAATTCTTCTGCATGACATTACAGCAAACATAACCAACATTTTTTTACATTGCCCATTATCTAGTTAATTGGTAATAGTTCATAGAAAAAAGGTTACATGAAGTCACCAGTACAGTTCTAAGTCTTACTGATGTTCATGGATCCTGATGTCCCCGTGTTCCTTCAGTCCCTGCTTGGATACAAAATGTTCTGCAGCCAAAGCAATTTAGAGGAGTTTCCTTTCCTCAGGCTGCTTCCAAGGCTGCTTTCCCAGTTCCCAGCACTGGGAGCAGTTGCAGAGGGAAGCAGCTGTGCAAAAAATTACCTTAAATTGGTGTGGCTGTGTCGGGTCACCTAAATCTCCCCGGGAGTTTTGCCTCAGTAAGGTCACAGGATTGGTCCCTGGTTAAATATCTAATGGGAGATCTTCAGGTGAGAACAATCAAACCAAATCTGAAAGCCCCATTAGAAAAGCAAACCAATATTTAGCCAACCAAATTTTGGTTTTCCATGTGAAACCATGCTGTGAGCTCGTTTAAATGCTGCACCAGCAATGTCTGAGCTCTTTGAAACCACAGGAAAACCTTCAGAGAATATTGTGTCACCCAGCACTGGGACACTGCAGTTTCTGAATCAAGGGGCTGTGCCAGCCTGGAAAAGTGCTTTTAATTTTGCTCTTTAATACTGTTTCTCAAACCAGCTGAACTTCATTTGGTGTGGCTCACAGACCACCAGTGACCCCCGGGCCTCAGAGTGGGATCTGCTCAAGCCATTTAAATGGAAATGAGTCCGCGTTGCTGCTGGAAGGGAGGGATTGACTTCTCCCCTCTCTCCCCTGTCCCCACACCAGCCTTGCTGCAGCTCTGAGTGGGTTCAGTTTGCTGATCTGGTAGAAGTTGGGTAGGGGTTTTATTTAGTTTTCTGAGGGTTTGTTGAGCTGAAAGAGTTAACAGAGGAATGGGGTGAATGTGGAACCAATGTCAGGACACAGGAAAGAGGAGAAAGCTGCTGAGCTTCCTTCAGTATAAAAAGGAGTGTGGGCATGGACCATACAAAGCACCAGGGCCTGTCCTGGGCTCACCTGAGCTCGTGGAGGGGTCTGTGCCTGGGACACGGGTGTGCACCCAAACAGATTCACCAGAAATCTGCTCTGAGTCTGGTACTGATTCCACTCAAACCTGTGGCAAAACCCTGTGTTTATATTGGCTAAAGGAAAGAGCACTCACAGAAGAAATGTGGCATTTTGTTTGGGGAACGTGTCACTTGACAGAAGCTGTGCACTTTCATTTTTCCACAGATGTTTATAAAACCAGAATTTAAACACAACTTGTCACTACATTTAACAAGCACGTTCAGGAGCCACACTGGCAGCCAAGTGTTGAGGTGTAGACAGAGTGCAAATGAACAGCTCCCACAGGGAGGGGGTCTGTTACTTGTAAAAGGCAGAGAAGAAAGCAGAGAGGGCCATGTGGCTCCCCTGGGACAGGGGGGACAGAGCAGCAGTGCCAGCTGCTCCTGCTTTTGGCATCGGGGGTGCTCCTCTCCCTGCACTTGGACAAACAGATGCCCAGGGGGCTCTGGGGGGCTGTGCTCTGTTCCAGGCTCTGCTCTCCCTCCCAGCACTGCAGGACACCAGGGCTCTGCTACAGGCAGGATAAATAAATCATGAGGTGTGCTGAGGAAAGGAGCTGTACCCACCCAGAGCAGGGCAGCTCTGCCACCATCCCCAACCAACCAGCACAGGCTCAGCCTGGGCTGGCACTGGGGGTTAAAGGCAAATTCCAGGGGGTCAACAGAGGCACTGACCATGAAGGGCTGGGCTTGGAGGACAGTCCAGCTCAGAATAATGGCTGGGAACAGGAATTTCTTCCTTGTGTGCTTTTGTTTTCTGCAGTGGAGCCTCTAAATGTACAAACCCAGCAGGATCTGAGCTTCTGTCTCTTGGAATGGGGACTGATGGCTCTTGTTGTGGACTCCCCAGCCCTGGAAGTGTCCAAGGCCAATCTGGATGGAGCTTGGAGCAACCTGGGCTGGTGGAAGGTGTCCTTGCCCAGGGCAGGGGGGTGAAACTCGGTGTCTTTAAGGTGCCCTCCAGCCCAAACCATTCTGTGATTCTGTGAATGTGGCTTTCAGAAAAAAAAACAAACAGGCTGTCTCCCAACACAGCTTGAGCACATATTTTCTTAAGTAAAAGCAATATTGTTCTAATAATCAAACAGTAAAAAGGGTCTCAGAGGGCTCCAAGCAAACCTGGCTCATTAATCACAGAACTTCACACGTGCTGTTAGTTTGGCCAGGAGTCTGGAAATGCCAGTCAATCATTTAAATTTTGGAGCTTCCCTGGACTTCAGAAGGCATTGGAATAACAGAATAATATCAAAGCCATTTTACAATTAATATTATAGGAAGCACACATTATATGAACCATTCCTGCTAATAAGAACCTTATTCTGGAAGCCATGCACAATGGAGATTTTCCAACAGCTTCTGCAAGAGTTTTCACTGTGGAGAAAACTGAGGAACAAATATAAAAATGCTTTTCATGTGGTAAAGTTGTAAGAAGTTATTAACAGAAAACAGGAAGCACAGAAGATGTCAGTTCTGAAATTCCTATGAGTGGATGTACAAGATGCTACAATTGATCTCTGCTTTTTAAATTTGATTTTATATATTAAAAGAAGCAATTTTCCTCAATACACAATGTGAAATTCTATTAGAGTCATCTAATGATGACAATCCACTAACAAACTTGGAAAGAGTTTCTTTTTTATTTAATATGAGGAAATCCTTCTTGTTTTACCAGTCTCTTTTATATAATTTAGGCAAGATTACTTCCAGTATATATATAAATACATCTAGAAGTGCTTTGAACTCAACACTTCTCAGACACAGAGCTGAGGAATGCTCCTCAAGGGGCAGGTTTGGGGCTGTTTGGCCACACTCAGGCAGTGAGTTAATGGCAGAAGTGGGAGGAGAACAAGCTCTTTATTTGCAGCTCCTGCTCTACTGAGCAGAGCAGATTTCATGTGAGATAACTGTGCCAGGGCACTTTGGGGGGCATTGCCAGGGGTCAGCTCAGGTTATGGTCACACATTCTTAAGCCCAACAGCCCCAAGAGCACGTGCAACATCAAATTCCATTTGTATGCCAGAGGAGGTTCTACTGACCCTCCCAAAACAGCCCCAAGGACACCTTGGAGGTGCCACCAAAGCAGTTGTACAAACCTTGCTGCTGCCACAGACCTGGGCGTGGATTGAAGGGTCTCCTCAGCTGCTGTGGGGGAGAGGAGAGAGCTGGGAGAGAGGGGCAGGAGGCACTGACACATCCCAGTCACTGCCATCCATCCCAGCACTCCTGAGCCTGGCTTTGGTTAGTCCCAGAGTCACTCCCATCCCAGTACTCCTAAGCCTGGCTTTGGCTCTGCCCTTGCTGGAAGTGCCACAGGGCAGAAACACGAGCTGAGCTGAAGGAACAGATGCTGCTCACAAAGTCAGATCCTCCAGTTAATCAACTTATTTCAGCCAAGGGTTTGCAGGGAATTCTCGAGACTGGAGCTGGAAGCTTAGAATTTCCCTCTGGCAGAAACGTCAGAGGTGAACTTTGCCAGCCAAGACCTGCCAGGAGCTGCTTTCTGGCACTGTCCCATCACAGACATCTTCAGCCTGGCAGATGAATTGGTTAAGCAAGAACTGGTTCAGCTCATATCAGAAATCACTTTTTCAGCTTAACTACAAAAAGCTTGGAAGTACAAAGTTTTGTTTTGTGCCACATAAAGCATTCCAAGCTCCCCCCAAATTAAACCCTTTATTTCAAGGTATTCAGGACATGCAAAACCATCAAAGACTGACCCAACTGTGACCTGGGCAGCACTGTAAGCAACAGGCAGTAACCTGGCAAGGGCTGCAAAACACACCTCGAAGTGGGCCACTGTTTTTGGGTGGTTCACTCCTGCTGAGGTCTCTGAGCAGCACTGGAGGCAGCTGCAGCAGCAGACACTGAGGACAGAACTGCTGCCCCTCCAGTCTCACAGGGAAATTGTCTTGGACCTTCTACAAATGGTCTCCAGCAGCAGGGACAGCTGAAGGAACGGGAGGAGGGAGGTTTCAAACTCTGATCATACTCCTTTCCTGTTCTTGAAGCAGTCTGTGTATTAGCAGGGGCAGGTGGAGAAATGTCCACGATCCCAGAAATAATCTCACCTCGTTCCATACATGAAATGCTGCCCCAAGAATAAGCTCCCAAAGAGGAGAGATGTCATTTCATATTCAGGATGAAAACCAGACAGGTCTGTGTGTTCCTGAAAGGCCTGATGTGTATCAGCATCACTTCCACTTCCTGCAACTTGTTCCAACAAACATTTATCCGTTTGCCTGGGATATTCCAGCTGGAGAGATAACTTGATGATTTTAAAAAGAAACATGAATCATGTTCCAGCTGTTTAAGAACAAGTCTCAGGATAACACACCATCTTGTCAATGTTAAAAAAATAGTCTGACAATCCTTTATGAAACAGGAGCTCTGTTCCTCTGCAGTTCAGACTCCAGATCTGGCAAGGATCAGCTCTGGCCCAAGGTGCTTAGGTTTGATTCGTTGGTGAAATCTAAGTATTCTAAATTTAGGACCGAATTTAAATCCCTGAACAATCACTTTGCATAAACTCAGTACAGCTGATGTATTAAAATTTCCAGTCAATCCACAGATTACAAGGCTGGTCTTGACATTTCCTTGGTGTTACTTCCTGTGTTGTTTCTGAATTGCCTCCTTTATAAAGAATTAAGTCTTTTAGACTTAACTGCAACTTTTAGAGAGGTGTGTAAATAGCTCCAGGAACCCTTCTGACACCTCCTCTTCCCTCACACTGACCCTGGCACAGACCAAGCCAACAGCAGTTGGTCTCTGCAGCGAGAGGCCCCTGGCACAGCCTGTGGTGTCCCAGCCCTGAGAACAGCTCCCAGTGCAAACCAGCTCATTCTGAGCAGCTCCCAGTGCAAACCAGCTCCTTCCCTCTGCACTCCCAGCTAGCATTCCCTGTGCCAGGGGAGCTCCCACAGGACACCCTCAGCCCACAGTTCTGGTCCCCATGAGAACATCACCCCCAGCATCACTGCAGAGCTGCACTGCAGAGCAGGGCCCAGCTGCCACCATCAGCTCTAGGGGTGACATCAAACACTCAGTCCTCAGAGCAGCTGGGAAATCACACACAGGACACTTCAATGGGTGTCTTCTGTCTGCAATTGTGGAAAAGAGCAGTTTTCCCTTGGAATTATCCACAACCATAAAGGTGAAGACATGAGCTGATGTGAAAATGCAGAACGTGAGTCACTAGTGTAGCAGGAGGGAAACTATATCCCTAATATTTTTCCCCATCTGTCTAAATCCACATTTTTGTGGAAACATAAAAGCAGTTTCTGCAAAAGCTGATGACCACTCTGAAGATTTTTCTTTCTGGTACTTGGTTATATCAACAATTCCACCTTGAGATCTTTGCTCGTTATATTTTTTCGCAAGTGCCAGAAGGATTTTAAAATCAAGTTTTATAAAAGAAAAGTCCACAGTCAGATATATCAGTCTTATAAACTCATCTGTGTTCAGAATTAGTATTTCTGTAACAAAAACAAAAGGGAAGCAGAAGCAGCCTTGGAGAAAACCTAATAAAAAAAGGAAACCAGCTTTACAGGTAGAAATTATGGGTTCAATATGTGACAGGTTCATGCTGATTCATTTTCTTCCAGTAACTTCAACTTCCTTCATTATTGACAAAGTGGAAACTGAAATCAGGTTCTTAATTTTAAGAAAAGCCAGGATTACAGAGTCTTCCCTGTCATACCATTAATATAACCACATTAAATGTGGTTATAAAAGCCATGTTTAATAAGACAATTTAAGCCATAACAGAAATAATTCCCAAATCCTTCCAACTCTAAAGTCAAGCTGTGCTGTTTTTTTTACCCAGTTCTTCAACTTTTAATAGTTAAAGGGAAAAAATCCCAGTTTAAGGACTAATATTGCAAACACCAAGCAGATGGTGCTTCACATTATCAGGAGGCATTAGAGCCTGAGAGCTGCTATCATACCATCTAACAGGATACTGCCATCAACAGAGACCCAAAGAGCATCTTTGCAACTGAAATTTGTAGGGTAACATCTGCACAAGCAGTCAGAATTTAAAAGCTCTACAGTCAGCTTCTCCTAACCTCGTCCTTAAAAAGGCTGGACAGCACTGAAAACTTTTACATTAATTTATCCCAAACTGTACAAAGCAATCGATTTTTACATTTCCAAAACACTTACTACAGAGTGATCAAGGAAGAAAATATTCATTCCTTCAGAGCCACGAGACAGACAACTCCCTTTACAAATAAGCTCCAGCAGTTGTATTGACTTTTTGTCAATAATTTTTGCTCTGTATTCAGTGACACCTGCTGCCCATTTCGTTTGAGGAGTCAGTTTTACTGGATCATGACTTTATGCTTGTATTAGTTGGCCAAGCCAACCTAGAATTTCAGTCAGCATCAGATCTGTTCTCCTCCAAGGATTTCCACAGTAGGTGCATGTACTTTATTTACACATATGTTATATGTTCATAACATTGCTCTAAGTACTGGACTCCTTCTGTCTGCTGAAAGAAGTTTGCACAAAGTTCTTTGGTGCCATTTCTGGCACTTGAGACACGTGGAAGGGAAGCAAATGTCTGGAGAGTTGTAAACAAGTATGAAAAAAAGCCTTTTGGAGCGGAATGATCTTCCCTGTGATCACTGTCCCAGGAAAGAGGCCATGGGATCGTCAGGTCTCTGCCTTTTCATCCTGTAGGCTTCCATCTCCTCCTCTGTTGGCTCCCTGGCCTCATACTGGCTGTTGTAGGGTCTCTTCCTCTCATCCAACTGCATGATTTCTTTAACATGGAGCAGACGAGCCTCTTCTGCATTTAGTGCCTGAAAGGAGAGCAAAGGAAAACAAAAATTCCACAAGGAAAGTTAAGCAAAAAAAAACAAACCAGAAGGTTTGTCTCAGATTCTCACATAGTAGACAAGCAGCAGGCAGAAGGGACAAGCAATGCACACCTGCCTGGCACACCTACAGCACATTTCACTTCATGATCATTTTTTAGAGTTGAACATAAACTGATGCTAAAACGCTATTTAGCAAACAAGACACTTTAATCTCTTTCCAGTTGTCAAAATCAAGTAGAAAACTCCTTGGATTTACCTAAAATGTAATCATGATCCAGCAAGTAGAATAGCAGGTAAGCAAGCATCTGATCTTAGGGATTTGGGATGGTTTGTTGTTGTATTCTGGTATAAGTTTGGGGTTTTGATTTTTAAATCCTCTGTATTATTCTGCCAACTACTACTGCTGCTCCTTGCTACTGAAAAGAAGTGCATTTATACAGTGCCTTGATTAACCACAGCTTTAATTGGTGTCCCCCTGGACACCCAGAGGCTGCTGTGCCCCAGGCAGTGCACAGTTTGGGGCATGGATTTACTGCCCCAGCTGTGAGACTGGGCCCAAGCCTGGCATAAAAGGTGCTAAGTTCAGCTTTGGCAGTGCCTTTGATCCCTCCACCTTTCTTTAATACACAAGTCATTGTTCTGCAATGTGTTTTAGAGATCTACAGCTGTAGTAAGTGCCTAGACATGAAGTGTTCTAAGTCATCTAAACTACGTCTTTTAAAACTAAATATTTATTGAACGTTTGCCTGAGAAATGAGGAATGTACTTCAGAACATCTAAGAGCATTTTAAATTTGCTCTAGCTCCAAATTAGCATCAAAGAACATCCCAAGGTGTAGCACAGGAACTACATTATAGGTTTCATAACACTGATGTAAAATACATGTCAAGTTCTTTTTGCCACAAAGCCACTGAAGAATATAGTGCACCTTTTTAAGTTTTTCTTGCTTCTTTTTCTCTTCACCCTCACTGTCTGAATTCGAGCTCTTCTTGTGCTTCTTCTTTTTCTTCTCTTTCTGTTTCTCTTGGTGGATCTGTGAGGTGGGAAACAAGTTCCTGTTAAGATGCAACTTGCCAACATTAATAATGTCCAAGCCACTAAATCCAGACTTCTCTCAATGCTATTTGAGAGCTTAGTTTTCCACAGAGGTGTTAATAATCTAATAATGCACTCCAGTCATTTTCAGGCACATTATAACTACAGAATTTTGTAGTTATGCATATCATTTCATCTCTTAAAATGCTGAGGCAAAATATGTCTTCCTGAGAATGGGAAGCATCCTACCTCCATCAGGGTTTTGGGTTTTGTCATGTGTTCTTCCTCCCCAGGCTGCTCTTCCAGTAAACTTGCTTCTGTGTTCTACACCACAGACAAGAGCAGGGATGTTACTATTACCAAGCACATTTGAAAGGGGAAGGACAAAAAAAATCCCCAACCCCCCCAAAAACCAACCCTCCCCAAAAGCAAAACAGTCTAAACATTAGGCAAGGCACGTAAATGCTTTCCAGCTCTTCCCAAGTGACTGAGACAACACTTACAGAGATTTCTTTCCCAGCCTCTCCTGTGCAGTAGGAGTACTTGACAAAGGAGTGGCAGCACTTGTAGCCCCACTTGCCTTCTTTCCAGTATGAACCCCAAATGCACTGCAAGAGAACACAGCACAGCAGTTATGGCACCAGGACACTCCTGCAGGAGGCTGCAGTTTATTGTTCAGCTTATATCCTGGGAAGTGAGTTACTCAAACAGTCCAGAAGGAGGTTCTGAGCAATACTCCTGCTATTCCACATCAGCCCTACAGGTGCAGAAAAGAGAAAAGCAACAGCATGTGGTCAACTCATATTCAAAGTGGAAGGGAAACAGAGTAACTTCCCCTTTAGTTTCAGACTGCCATGGCAACTCCTCAAATTCACATCCCAACCATGACAACCTGAAACTCCTCCTCAGCAGAGAAGGGAGTGTCACATTTGAGAGAGGAGAAATTTATTTGCTGTATTAATTATATTGTTCTGTATCCTACTACACCTCTGATGGGAAGGTATTTAATTTTTCTAGGATTTTAACACAACCCAGGGCTTACTGTATGGTTGTTGATCTTCACATCCTCTTCATACTTAGAGCAAGCAACAGCTTTCTCTTGTCCTTTGATGACTGTCCCATGCCTGGAGTACTCCACATAATCTTCTGTTTGAGCTAACAGCAGCTCAGCTGGTGGGGCATCCAGGTGTTCTTGTCCTCCATACTAAAATGCAAATAGAAATGACATATAACAGGTTTGAAAAAACCCATCTTTTCTGTAGTTAAACAAACATTCCAAAAACGGCACCTTCAGCACCTTCTGAAGAAGCCATGAGAGGGGATGGTGGCAGCTTAATATTTAATGAATATTTAAGACAGAAATACATCATCTCCCATGGCCACTGTGGTGTTTAGTTTTATGTGGTTGGTTTTTTTGGTTTTGTTTTATGCCCAGAGAATGACAACAGGGATATTTCTCACTGAGAGCACAAAAACTTTTCAGACCAAGCCAAAAGGCTCTGGTACAACCAGAGCAGCATTTTCTGTCCCCCTTCAAACTTGAATGTTGACAAGGTCAGGATCTAAATTGATTATTTAGATCTTCTGCAGTTGTCCAAGAAGTGAGTTGCAAAATATAAAACAAATATTTATGTACAAGACTGCACCCAAAACTTGAGTCACGAAGAAATTCAGATTTCTTCAGTGGAGAAATTCTGACAGTTATGGAAGAGCTCCCAAAAATACAAAGAAACACCAAAAGATCTTCAAAAGTTCCTATATTAAATAGTAACATTAATCTAACTGATGATAGTGTATAAAAATATTTTTATATTTATAAATCTGAGCTGCTGAGAACAGCTGATGCCCTTTCACACAGGATTAGTAATCTTGTTTGTTCCCCAAGACCCAGACATCCAACTTGACAGAATTCTTATTAGATAAAACCAAATGCCTATTACCTTCTCTAGGATGCTTTCTTTCTGCTGTGCCTTGAAATCTTCTTTTTTCACTTTGAAGGATTTATAAAGGAGCTCTAATTTGGTAGGGTCTGCTTGAAGATGAACTTCAGAGCCTTTGTCATAAGCTTCCCAAGCAAACACTGTGTACACAAGAGGTTTCACTCAGCATTAAAACTGACATACACATTCAAACTACATTCTTCAATTCTGAAGCAATTTGGAAGAAGACCTCAATCCAAAAAGACTTATTTCTCTTTTGCAAGAAACCAGCAGTGTTAAGTGTTTTAAGTTCTACAAAGCCCCCCAAAGCAGCCCCACTCACACTGGGTCTGTGCCATGGAAATGGTGTCTCCTGTGTAGCGAACAAAGTTGTCACCAGCATAACCAACCCTGCAGGGGAGAGAAACAGCACTCTGAGATCTTGGAAGGGGATTTCCCCTTAAATACAATCACACAACTTCAACAGGGAAGAAAAAAATTCCCTTTGTGCCCTAAGAGCTAAGAATGGAGGAAGAAGTGGGTGCATTCAAGCCCTGGCTCCCTGTGGAGCCATGGAAGTATCCAACAGCCCCCTGGAAAACCTGCTGTGTGTGTTCCCAGGGAAACATGGCACAGGAGCTCTGTCTGGGATGCCAAGCACTGTGAGTTAAACTCTGATCTAACTGCACAGAGACACCCATCAGTGGTGTGTGATATTCCAGCACAATGACCCTCAGCTCCTGGATCTGTGCCCCTCCAGCCCAGCCCGTGTCTGTGGCTGAGTCAAAGCCTGGGAACAGCTTTGCTGCTGCCTGCAAAGCTGGGACACTTCTGCACAGCCCTGAACAGATGCACAGTGTCTACATGAAACACAGGTTGAAGATCAAACAATGTTAACAACCCCATCCCCCCCTTTCATCTCCCCAAGGCCACTCTGGAAAATTTACAGTTTGCAAAGCTGTGGCAGAAACAGATCCAACAAAGGTCAAACTGTGATGAGAGAGAAGCAAAAGCATTTGCATCTAAAACAAAAGAATTGACTGGCATTATTCTAGCTGGGGGCAAACAGAGGTGCAAAGAGCATTATTTGCTGTCATTTAGGCCCTGCCATTCTATTCCAGGCAGTGAGCTAATCCAATTGCTGTGCTCTGAATGCATGTTTTCCTCACAGCCTGCCTGCTCTGCAGGTTCACAGCACAGCACAGGTCAAGTGCCTGACTGGGGTGCTCAGTAAAACAGCCCCGGGTGCAGCTGGGGCTGCACTTTTTTAATTAGAGATGTGCACCTTTAATTAAACTGGCTAAACACACAATGCCAAAGCTTTCAGATCTTCACTATGCAGAATCCATTCATATAGCAGATCTTACTCCTAATTCAAACATTTAGTTAGGTACCAAGACACTGCATGTTAGTCTCCAGTCCTGAATGCCTCCCAACAAACATAAGATAATGTTTATGATTTAGTTACTGAAATAATTTATATAAACATCATTAGTGTTCACAGGCATCACCTCTAGATGCAGAAGTGTTCTAGTCCCTGTACAGATCACTACAGGAAATAAAAGTCCACACATTGCTGGAGATTAGGGGCCAGTATTACAAAAATACCACTTTTACATACTAAAACAAAAGGTGCTACTAAATAAAACAGGTTTTTTTCCATGTTTACTGCTACTTCTATACACAACTGACCAGAGATTAATTAGTAAAAGGACATACAGATAAAAGAAAATATACAACTATTTATCCCATTTTTAAGAGTTTTGTTGGATACACAAGAATGACCCTGTTTTAACTTACTCATCTGGATTCTTGCCTGTGTTGGCATATGGGTTCTCCCTCATTGCCCTTGTTTTGGGATCATAATAAGCAGAGTTTGGATCTAGATTCCTCAAGTACTGGGGAAAGAAACAACATACAACATATTTAATGTTCATGATTTTAAAAGAACTGAAGTTACTCGTTTATGCCCCAGTTTAGACATTTTAAAAGTTCTATCCACGTAAAAAGATGACCTTTATCAAGCCATAACATGAGCATGAACAGAACTGAAAACAGACCTTGACCCAAGACACAAACACAAAGTCATTGATAACTGAGTGCACAATTTATTGAACCATTTGTGACTGTTCTTTACTCACTTTGGCAATGTCCTCCCGGATGCGCAGGTTCCGAACCGTGATACGCCTTTTAGAGTCAAAGTTCTGCCCAGGCATATCAATGTCATCTGCATATTTATCTTCATCTTCATCTTCACTGTTATGATCTCTTTCCTGAGGAGAGATGGGAAACTTCTCAGTCATTCACTGCAGAGACCAGCCTGAGGATCTGATCCCAGTGCTTTCCTTACAGTTCTGCAACCCCTGCAGTTCCAGGCCGGCACAGCTCACCAGGGCTGAAGTGCTGCCAGGCCAACCTACCACTGACACTGCTCACAAACACTCCTGGGGAAGGGTTTCCACTTCCCCACGTGGAAACAGTTATCAAAACATAACTGTGACACTATTAAGAAAACAGTTATCTTGAGCAAAATATACCACACTAAAAACTAGTTGTGTGCTTGCATCTCTAAAGTCTGACAACACACAGGAATTAAAATAAAAACCCCTCTAAGAAATCCAGCAACCTCTGCCTGAAAGACCAGGCAGCCAGTGGCATGGCCATGCCAGTGAAACCCTTATGCCACCCTCATTTCACTGCTTCACTAATACAGGTCCCATGAGTGATGCAGTGGGTAATCAATCATCTTACTGTCTGTGAATTGGGTTCCTCTTCTCCCCACTGGTGTCTTGGGGAGTTCTGCAGCAAACAAAGAGCACATCAGCAGAGAAGACAAGATAGTGGAGAGAGGAAAGATGGCAGGGATACGAAGGGCAATCAAAGCAAAGCTTGATGCTGGATACAAAATACGATTTACCAGTGGCATAAAATCCAGAAAGATGCTACACAATGTTCTAGGAAAGAGCTCTTAACTGTATCTATGACATACAGGTGTTGGAGGCCTTTTCACTGCATCCCCAACTGAATTTCCCATTCTTTGCAAGAAGAGCAAATTCTAGAACTGTGTTGCTGTTATTTAGAGCTTGCTATGCCTTTGAACACTGGTGGATTAGACTAAAATATTTCGTATCATGCAAATATAACCAAGTTTCAACTCCAAAAGCTTAAAAAATAATCAAGAGGATATGTATTCAAGGATTTAGTTAGGATTTACAGGAATACTAAAAGCATGAACCAGAAGGCAGAACTGAAGCTGGACAAAGATAGCCTGACTTTAATTTTTTAACCTGCTTAGCCTCTAACTTGAAAATACTTGCAGGGGTGAAGATGGAAACAACTGTGAGCCCTGGAACACTGACCAACAAATTGGCCAGTGCTGACTATGCAAATCAGCCCCAGAGACAGTTCTGAAGTTTGTTTGAAACTTTTTTTCTTACAGCTTCATTTTTTTAAGGTGATGCCTAAAAATTTTTAGGCATTTTGTAAATTTTAATATGGCTGTATAACTTGCTTTCACTTTAGACAGTTACTAAAGTGTTTTCTCCTAGTTTGTGCTACTTTCCAATGAATTTCTGTTTAACAATCTTTCCAAGAAAAGAGATTTTAGCAAGGACATCCTGTTTGGGATGTGCACCTGGACCAGAATAATGAAATATATTGTAGTCAAAACAAGATAGAAGGCCCAGAACCCTTGGAGGGGCTGAGGGTGGTACCAGGGGCAAAGATGGTTTTTGGGTTGAATGTACCCATTACATATGGAAATTAGTTAAAGTTATAGCAGTGTGAGAATGCTCTGTGTGTGTGTGTGTGTTAAAATTAGAATTTTGTACCAAAGATTACCAAAAGCACTGTCTATAATCTAGGAGGAGCTACGGGAATTAGTGGAAGGTGCAAACTCTGCAGTTACAAGCCAGAGGGAAATACATTTGCTCAGCCTTCAAAGAACCAGAGACACTACAAACAGCAACAACTGAAGAAGAAACAAGTTGGTTTAACACAAAGAAAATACCTTCCTATTCCAATTTCTACTAAACATTACCAAACCAATGCATAGTCACATAACAGTCATTACCCCAACATTGGCCAGATCTTAACAATCTTTAAATACAAAAAGAGCATTTCAGTACATGAAAAAAATGACTACATGGAAAACAAGTTCTTCTGACCCAAAATTCCATGTAATTAATTTTAGCAGAAATAATAGTCACACAGAATTTTAGCCCATAAGGGGAAAACAAAGCAACTCTCATTGGAAAGATGCTTCAAATTCTTGATTATGACACAGAGTGCCAGGAAAATCTTTAAATTACTGGAGGGCATAAAACCTAATAGCAGACCCTGCACAGAGAATAAAAGAGTCAGAAAGCAGAAGTAATCTGTTGTGTATTTATTCAGCTTAAACAAAAATAAATTAGGGTTTAGTTCACTTACCACTTGCTCCAGCTTCCCTGATGCCAACTCCTCCTGAAGCTTCTGTGCTTTCAGGGTACGTTTGGCCTGGGAAGGAAGAAAATACATTTGTTGCCATGTTTCTGTTCAACACAAGGTTTAATATTAACAGTGCACATCAGCAGTGTTCCTCCTCCCAGCACAGCCAGGCCAAGCACCCAACCCTTCCCCAGGGAATCACAGCCCCTACATACCAAATCCACCTTGGAATATTCCTCCACAATCTTCATGTGCTCCTCTGGGTTATACCCGTTCCAGCGGTCCCGCTTCCCGTCATAGTCAAACATCAGCTGGGGCTGCACGTGTTCATCCGGGGCAATGTTCATGCCTGTGTACTTTGCTCCAACTTTCCTGGGCCTCTGAAAGAGAAAAGGATGGTTAGATCAGCCCATTAGACTGAAATATGTTACTCACTCAGATATCCCTTTAAAAGTCTTATCAATCAAGCTCCTCTAAAGCCAGTTAAATTCAGCACTGCAATTGTAAATAAATGCAAGTAGTTCTGCATTTCAGTGTAGCACAACTGACTCCAAACCCCATCAATTTTTAATTCTATTTTCCACAATTAAGAAAGCAGTTAGAACAGTTTTTAGGTGGCTTCTGGCTGACATGACCCAGAAAGACAGGCACAGCAGCACTGGAGTTAATGCAGATTAACATGACGAGTTAAACATTTTCACTTATTACTGCAGAGCTTATTACAAACAGAAATCACCACAACATCCTGAGCAGCATCACTTTTCCCCTTCATTTTTCCTACAGAGCAATTTCTTTAGAAATTTCCAATCTAAACACTCACAGCCATGTTCAACATGGCTTCTCTAAAGCCAGTATTTTTTGTCTGACCTATAGCCAGCTGTTCTTCACTAGGAGGAGCATTCCCACGGTTTCCAAAGCCATTAAGCCATGGACAGAAGTGCAGTTTACCTCCATGCAGTCCTTCTTTTTGTGTGTCAGGGCCCCACAGTTCTCACAGGCTCCTTTTCGGTACCTCGTGGCCACAGAGTTCTGGGCAGGGGCACAAAGGGCAGAGTTACACAAAGAGTCATGAAGTGCCACCCAAGGTGTGACCCACCCAACCCCCCAAACACTGCAACCTGCCTGAGTGAGGATTCCCAGCTCCTGCCCCCCTCAAACCCACGTAACCATCAACCACTTCCTCGTGCAATCAAAGCAAATCTTTATGTTCTGGCAAAACCCTCTTTCATACCTCCTGAACTCCTCGTTTGTACCAATCCCCAGAGGAGTTGTACTGTTTCTGCTTCTCTGGCTGAGGTCTCTGATGCTTTAGGGTGGGTCTTTTAGAAGGATCTATGTACCATGGCACTGAGGAGATGTACTGGGGAATGTGAGGATTGATATCCCTGTAAAAGATGTTGTGTCACAAATACACGGCACGGGGAAAAAAACCCGCAGCAATTCAGCCCAACAAATAACTCCCCATTGAAGTTCAGAGCTTTAGGAGGGATAATAAAACAATGAAACTGGTAGAATGCATTGCAAAATAAATTTGGCAACAGAGACTTTCACTGAGGTTTTGTTGCCACCTAATTCACTCTAACTTCTCACTCCAAAGCAAGTGGCTTATTCTCTGTAATGTTACCGAGCACAGAAATAGCGACATTTGTCTTCTCAGAAGCAACAAGCCTTGTAGAAACAAGAGAGGGGGAACACCTCAGGTACACAGGGAAGTTCCCCCTTACTCATGTTTAAAATACCACCTGTAAGTAGCTGCATAAATGAGACTTTTAGCAGAACTGTCAATAGCTCACAGTAGATAAACACTGACCTTGCATTTTTTGGGAGAGTATCTGTCTTCTGGAGCATTAAAAGAAAATCTACAAAATTCCAACTATTTCCTTCTGCAGTGACTCACACAGAAACCCTGTGTCACCCTCCCAACCCTTGTGGAACCACACCAGAAAAAAGGCATTTTTAACCAGCAGTTTTAGAACAATCCAGCTTTAGCAAAACTCACTTTCCCTCTTCGTCCACCTCAGCAGGTGCATTTCCGAGTTTTCTCTGTTCTTCCAATTCCTTCTTTTTCCTCCAGTCTTCCCTTGTCATCTTCTTCGGCTCCTCCAGGCTCACGTCGTTTGCCCCTCCTGCAGGGGTGGCGTTCGCCACCGCCCCCGATGCCATTTTGGCTCCGTCCCCTGCAACAGGCAATAAGTGCAGGCAAACCCGCCGCCCCACACCCGGCGCGGTGTGAGCGCAGCCCCTGGCGCGGCCTGTGCCGCCTGGACCGTATCAGTGCCCGAGCCAGCGGCAGGGCCCGCACGGCGCCTCCGCACCGGCACTACCGCACGGCCCGGGCCCGGGGCCGCGACCGGCTAGGAGCGCACGGCAACACCCCCGCGGACCCGCCCTATCCCTGTCCCACTCCTTTGTCCCGCTCCTTTATCCCAATCCTACTCCTTCATCCCGGTCCCGGTCCCTGTTTTTACCTGCCGGGCTGCGCCACCACCCCACAATGCCCCGCGGCCGCCCGCTCACTTCCGGGGCGGGGCCCCCTCCCGTGCCCGCCCCTCTCGTGAGCCAATTGGCTGCCGCGAGTCAGTCGAACCGGCCAATGGGCGGCGCGGCGCCAGTTTAAAAGGGGCGCTGTGGGTCGCGGGGCGCTCTGAGGAGTCAGAGGGTGCGTTGGGTATTTCGGGATACTGCGGGGGCCGGGCGGTGTCTCTGGGCCCGGGGGAGAGCGGGGGTGTCCGGGCGGTGCCTCTGGGCCCGGGGGTGAGCGGGGGTGTCCGGGCGGTGCCTCTGGGCCCGGGGGTGAGCGGGGGTGTCCGGTGTAAAGGTGTGAAATAGGGGTTTGTTCCCCCTCATCTAGGGACCAGTACATGACAGCTCTGTTGGCTTTAATGTGGCTTGCCTAAAAAGTGTGCTCTGGTGGAGGAAATGACAAAAATTATTTTTTCTTTTTCCTGTACGAACTTTTCAAGGTGATTTCATCAGCCTGAAGATGGCAACTGTGATCTCTGTTGGTGCAGACAATGTTGCTCCTGAGAGCCAGCTGATGATCTCTCCAGGATCTGGTGAGTATGTGCTGCCCTAAGGCAGCAAGGGGTTGAGTGAGGGGCAGAAATCATGTTTTGTTATTCACTGTTTTCAGTGGTTTTCTATTCATATATCTGTTTACCTAAGTAATTCTTCTAAGCTCATCAATTACCATAAAAATTAAGATAACTGGGTGTTTGGCATAGATGTGGCTTATGCTTTTGTGTTATAAATGGTGAATAAAGATTTCTATGGCAAGAAGTTTTCCAGCACGTGCCCTTACTGAAGCTTTAGGGTTGATATGGTGCTAAAGTTTGCTTTTTTTTCTTCCCACCACTCCAGCAAAAGGAAAGAGCACACACTCTGGAGGAGTACTTTGCACTCCACTTCATAAAAAAGCATTCTCATCTGCAGCCATGACTTGCTCTAGGAGAAAGGCTCTTGGTAAAAAAGCAATCACTACATCTGCAGCCATGTCTCACTCCGGGGGAAAAGCTCTTGGTAAAAAAGTATACACTGTACCTGAAGGCACAT